TATCAGGAAATTAGATTATATGATTAGGGTGCAGGTAGCAGCAAAATCTTTTTTTCCACTACACATGTTCCATTATCACAGCAAAGTGAGGAAGATTGACGTTATTGCTAACTACTGCTGTTGACAATTGTTCTGCTGCTTATCTTCAATTTCCATGGAAAGGTCACAGTGAACTTTGAGCCTCGCTGTTTGCATATACCCCCCCCCCCGCCCTGATTCAGGTATTTATATTTTGTTACCTGCTAAGGGTAATGTTCCAATATCTGATAAGGTGGGGTCTGCTTCATGAAGGATTATACCAGTCTTCCTCAGTCCAGTGTATTGTACTAGAAGTCCTATCATCCACAGGCAAAAATTTATTTGGTACACTGGCAAGGGATGATAATACGTACTTGTACTTATTATACTTACAAGGGTTGGTCATACTTGTACTTAACATGTTTGAAAGATGCCAGTATGAGAGAGACTGAATTATACCTATTTGTCATTGCCAGCGAAATCTTGTTTGTGATACAGAAACCCCATGACAGTTTGGTCAAGGGAAAACAATTGCCCAAATTTATCCAGTGGATTTCATGGGGACAAGAATCAAGATCTCCCAAATCTCAGTTTGGTGCACTAATTACTACACCACACTGGCTTGAGTTTTATAATAAGCTTAATTTAATGGAGTTGCAAAGAGAAAAGCTTCCCCTATTGCTTCACCCCATTTAAAACTCTCCTTGGCTTTTCTGAGGAATAAGGCGATGGGATAAATTTGAGATGAGACAAGGTGGGGGGAGGCTTTCAGGGTCTACAAGAGAAGGGGGAGATCACCCCAAATCTGGCTCAGACCCTAAGATAACTGAAGGAAGTTTCTCATCCCTTCCTTCTTGTCTCCCTTCCCACCTCATGCTGAGTCCTGTGTTGTTTAGTAAAGCTCCTCCAAGACCTTCAGAGAAAGTTTCTAGGGTTACAGAAGGTGAAACAATGAGGGTGTGGAGGCAGAAGGAAGTTTCCCTTGTGTCAACTTCCTTACATTTAACTTATCTTAAGAGTCAAGCAGTGCTCTGTTTTGCTTTGCTATGAGCAAAAATGCCAAATTCCATCCCGGAGGAACTGTAAAATGTTCTCCTGCCACTACACAGGGGATTCAGGCCTGGCCATCCTTTTAAGCAATGCCAAAAAAGAAAACAAACCCAATTCAGCCCAACCTCAAAAGAAGCTTAATTCTTGCTGCAGTATCAACTAGAATAATCTCTTATTTGTGTGTAAGATCTCTGCTCTCTCTAGCTTCCTGAAGGCCTCTTTCCTCCTTGTCCCTCAGTCTTGATTATTAGTTGTTTTGTTATTTCCCATTGAGTCAGCTTTGACCTGTAGAAACCTACAGTCATCATATTTTATTCATATAACCCCACAATATTTAATGGGTTGATTTGCTTGATTTAAAATCCCTTTGCTCAGTAAACAGCAGTTTCCTTAACAAACAAACTTCCAGCTAGAAGGAGGACAAGAAGGAAAATAGTAGGGGATGAGTGGTAGAAAAAGGAGCTTCTTTGACAAAGGCTTTGTTCACTGTATGCTCTCTATAGTCAGCGACAACCCCAACGAAGTGGGGGCAGTTATGCTCATACATTTTTTGTTTTTAGTAACGACCAAAGGAAATGCAATTCCCACATAGATTACTGTATTATTCTCTTTCTTAAACAGTTGTGCTTGTGTTATTCCCTGGGAAAGACAAAAGTGCTGGAATCAAGCAAGTGTTGACATTTCTTTCCTCAATTTTTTCCCCACCAGGTATGTACAGAGCTTGCTGGACATCATGGTGTTCCTGGATAAGGACCCTGAAGACTCTGGGGCCCTGGGACAGTGAGTTTGGGATGTGGAGACTCTTGTTGCAAAGCCTGTGTGAACATCTTATTTCATAGTATCTTTGAAGGCTGCTTCTTTCATTACTTTTCTGCATGTGGTGCCCATAGCTCATCATCTGAAGTCAGGGCAGTATCTACTTGTTTCTGTTTGTTTGGCTCTTCCTTCTTGAGGTTTGACAAAGCTGACCTTTAAACCTGAGAAGAATGGCATATATAGCTTTCCTTAGGAGTCTCATCGAATATGGTGCTGTGGTTTGATGTTCATTAGGTGTTCAGGAATTTAAATTAAACATGATGGGAGTCTGCACCTTTTTTTTAGCTTTTTTTAAAGGCGGAACAGTGCTTTTTTCATACTATCTGGAGGATAGGGATCATCTGGAATGCAGTGAGAAAAGGGCATATGGTCCTCGTCTCTTGAATGAGCCCCTCCTGTAAAAAGAAGAGGCACATAGCTAAATGAAGAGCAATATATTTATTTTGGTCAGTGCTAACATAGATTTCATTGCCCACTTATCCTTCGTTATATCTAGGCATGGTTTTTGCTGTACAAATATCATAGAATAATTGTTGTAGTGGGAGAGAGGAACTGGATTTATAATTTGAAACTTTTTTCTGATAGTCCATTTCCCTTTCAGATTCACCAATGCCCTGGTCACGATCCGAAACCGTCACAACGATGTAGTCCCCACCATGGCACAGGGTGTGATTGAGTACAAAGAGGCTTATGGGGATGACCCTGTCTCCAACCAGAACATCCAGTATTTCCTGGACCGCTTCTACCTTAGCCGCATCTCCATTCGTATGCTCATTAATCAGCATAGTGAGTTACTGTCTTGTCTTCCTATAATTTTCTTTCTTCATGATCTGTAAGTGTGTGGCCATAGTTTCCGTTGGCTGTTTTCTTGGTGTGGTGCACTGGTTTGATAAGGCCCTGTTGGTAGTCAAGATCCTGCTTCTTTTCAGCCACAGAAGTCCTGACAAAGTATATGCCATTGTTTTATTGCAAGCTTCTCCAACCTTGAACTACAAGTCCCAGAATCCCTCAGCTGATTATACTTCATAGATTACTTTAAAACATATCACACAATTGCTTTGCAGGTATGGGCAACTGTGTAAAGCTAGGGGGGCTACATCTTCTCCCAAGAAGACCTTGGAGAGCCTCACCCATTCCAGCAAATGATGATAAAGATGTTAAAAATTGTCCCCAGATACATCTAGGGGACAGGGGGCATTTTCATTATGATTTGGGTTTCAAACAAGGCATCTCATAGGAAAGATGTGGTGCAAATGCCCCAAACACACCCAGTAGATTGGAGCACTGTAGGGCCAAGCAAAACATGTTTTTAACTCACAAGAGGCCTTCAAATATGATGGAGATGTCCTCCACATCCCCTAGTGTGCATTTAGGAGCATTTTAAAGTAGAAGAAAAAGAAATATTTTGATCCCTGGGGCCCACAAAACCCCTGGGGGCCATGCTTTGGTCTCCTTGCTTTGAAACAAGGCACATGAGGAATACAAGTTAAATGGAACCCACCAATTCCAATTTGCTTTGCTTTTAAATTGTATTGGCTGAAGGGTTTTGGAAACCACAGTTCAACAGCAGATGCAGGGAAAAGTGACCTGTCTTTTCTTCATTTGTTTCTCCTTTTTCTACAGCTTTGATTTTTGATGGCAGCACCAACCCGGCCCATCCCAAGCACATTGGCAGCATTGATCCCAACTGCAACGTTTCAGAGGTAGTTAGAGGTCAGTGGCCTTCTATAATAGCACATGGGAAATTTTAGGCTTATAAATGTTGATTGTTGTATGGTACCACAAGCCAGTCAATTTAATTTGATATCATACCTGAACACACTCATGCACAAATCCCTGTTATCTGCTGTCCTTTTATGACAGTCAGAAGTTATTTTCTAATGTGGCTGTCCTCTTAATGATAGGGTTGGCCTGGTTCTTGTGTCCAGCCTTCTAATGGCCTTTGATCTTGTGGCCAATGGAAGAGGCCGGAATCTCCTTTCTTGCTATTCTGCTGGCCAAGGACAACCATGAAGTGGAATGGAAAGGAAAGGACAGTCCCTTGCTGGCGAAGCTGAAACATCTTCAGGCCTTTCTTCAGGAGGATGAGCTGCTTCTATGTATTTCTATAGGGGCCGCAATGGTTCAGCAGGTTAAACCGCTAAGCTGCAGAACTTGCTGACCAGAAGGTCAGCAGTTCAAAGTGAGCTCTGGTTGTTAGCCCCTCTTCTGCCAACCTAGCAATTCAAAAACATGTAAATGTGAGTAGAGTAATAGGTACCGCTTCTGCAGGAAGGTAATGGCGCTCCATGCAGACATGCCGGCCACATCACCATGGAGGTTCTATGGACAATGCCAGCTCTTTGGCTTAGAAATGGAGATGAGATGAGCACCACTCCCCCAAGTCGGACTTGTCTAGACTTAATGTCAAAGGGAAACCTTTACCTTTATGTATTTCCAAAAATATACAGCCAGAGACCTTGCTTTATGAAGCACGAGAAGAGAGAGACACCATCTTTTGTCTGATAACCCTAGCTTTATGTCTCTCTTTGTTGCAGATGCGTATGACATGGCCAAGCTGTTGTGTGACAAATATTACATGACTTCTCCTGACTTAGAGATCCAGGAAGTAAATGGTAAGAGTAGGAGCAAAGTTTTAATTTCAAAGTAGAAACTTAAATACTAGGAAGATGTAGCCCAAGAGATAGTGGGCATTGCCTGAGCCAGCTTTGGCATAGCCTTCTGTCTTCATAGAGGTTTTCCAAGGTTCAGAAAATATGTCCACTCTCCATGCACCCTCAACCCTGTGTGTGGGTATGCAAACATGGAATTGTTTGGATCATGTAATTTCAGTATTTATTCTAGGATGTTTTAATGCTTTGTTTACATGTTGTTTACATCTTATGTTTAATGGTTTTGACTATTTTAATTCATAGTTATATGTGAGTGTTCAGTTATTGTGATTTTTTCTTTGTATATGTACAGTAGAGTCTTGCTTATCCAGCATAAACAGGCCGGCAGAATGTTGGATAAGCAAAAATGTTGGATTATAAAGAGGGATTAAGGAGATGCCTTTTAAACGTCTAACGTTATAATTTTACAAATTCAGCACCAAAACATCATGTTCTACAACAAATGGACAGAAAAAAAACACGGTTTCAATACACAGTAACATTAGGTAGTAATTACTGTATTTACCAATTTAGAACTAAAACATTGCATTGTTATTGAAACAGCTGTGGATCTGGGCAGGAGGCAGACTGTGTTGGATAATACAGAACATTGAATGAGCAAAGGTTGGATATTAGACTCTACTGTATATGGCATTGAATTTTTGCCATTAATATGTTGTAAACTGCCTTACTGCCTTGAGTCCCCCCCAGGGGTGAGAAAGGCAGTATATAAATATAGTAAATAAATAAATAAATTGTGACTATAAATTTGGCAAGAGGTTCTAAAGATGGTACACAATTATTAAAATGGAAAAAATCGAGCAGATCAGGCAGCAGCTTAATGGAGGTTTTATTATGTAATATAATTGTGGGAAATATAAAGCATGTTAAATTTTTTTAAAACAAATTGATTAATTGTGACTTATTTTAGTGTGTTGGTACCTGTTTGCCATAAAACAGGAACAGTGGGATTTGCTTTCTGACTGGTTTTGCACCGTATAGCTCCTTATAAAACTAATAATAAAATTACTGAATATGCAATTCTTCCTCTTCCTCTCTCTCTCTCTGTGATTTTTGTTTAATAGATGTTGAAACCTCATAAAAGCAGCTATACTATCCCTGAGGGACCTATCCCAGTTTCTTAGGACTTGGATGGGAGGCATGCACATGGGTATTCAATAAAGATCAAAGACTGGCAGACAGTCTTTATACATGACAGCCACCTACATGCCAGTGGACTGTCATTTTCTAGTTCATCCCATCCCACAGGACTCAAGAATGAAGACAGTCAGTTGAACAGTATTTCAATTTTTATTAAATTTTAATCCCTTTCTCCTAAGCATGCATGTGCATTCATGTACATGATCCTGCCTACTTCTCTTCTTATCTCCACAAGAACTCTGTGAAGTAGACCCAGGTATGAGATGGCGACTAGGCCAGAGTCCTCCAATGAACTTCATGGCTGAATGGAGACATAAAATATCCAGCTACAATAACTCTTGACTTTTCAAAGTGTTCCATTGTTGTTAACCTTAGTCCTAACAACCCATTAATGTAGTTTTCTATCGATCACAAAAACAAAGTGTTAAGGATGGAAGATCCAAAAGCCATTATAGGTGCCCTTGACAGAGGTGGAACATGAACCTGTCAAGTCTCGAGGTTACAATCCATCTCCTGCCATAAATTCTGTCTTTCACCACTATTTTACTAAAACAGCTGGAATTCACAAAATGGTTCCATTTCTTTATTAACAAAGTCTGGTAGTTATGGGCTGTCTTTTTTGTACTCTTAATCATAGGTTTAAAACACTGCATTAAAAAGTTGGTGCCTGTTTCATCCCATTCTTGAAACTTAGCTCCAATGACAGGATTTTCCTTTTTTAATGTTTCTTTGAGAAAGACAGAGAGAAAGGTAGTCCACCATTTATGTTTTTTTATGGCAATTACAGGTTCCTGTTACGGTTAAAGTTATATTATTTTACTTTTAGATGGATCACTGATCACCTCATTTTTGTTCAAAAAACTGTCACTACAAAAATGACTCCTTGGATTCATTCAATTCTGATAGGCTGGAAAATATAATAAGATTCTCTAGTTTAATAAGATCCTCTAGTTTGTCCTAAATCCAGATGTTAGTCTTGACTAGATCTGATTCAACCGAACGGGCTTTATGTCTCAACTTCATGTGCTTCCATTGGCCTGGGACTACAAATGGGATTTTGGTCTTTCTGCTGGACAGTAAACTATCTCTGTATGTGTTGCAATCTTCAATGCATTTTTTCTAGGCCTCTCTTTTAAAGGGGTTTTAAAACCTAAAAATAAGAAAGCAACCTCTGTCATTTGACTTTCAAGAGTTTGTGTTAGCCTCATTCACGTTTCCCTCCTTTGATTCAGCCCCTGGAACCAGACCCCATCCATGGCTTAGTAAGTAGATAAACTGATGATTTGATAAGCAGCCAGTATACTCTTAGCATTATGGCTTGGCACCAACAGCTTTGCTAGAATCCAGGCTTCATACCTTATGGCTTCGCCTTGCCTTTCAAAACAAAAGGACATCAGCTCTTGTGTCTTGACGCTGTCATGGCATAAAAATGAGATTAAGATCAGGACCCCTCTTGATCCAGTACATCACTGGAATTGAATGGCAACATTAGACAATGATGTTATGTTTTTCCCCCATCAGAGCTTGGAATAGTTTGCAGCAGAGGTGAGTCATGTGCAGGCTATGAGCTACTGGGTCCAAAGTCCTGCTTTCTGGTCCACAGTGCTTGACTCACTTTTGCAAAAGCATTCCTGGCTCAGCCTCTGGTAACATGGATGTGGCTGAGGGTCATGCAGTCTTATCTACTTGGACCTCTGCCGCTATACAATGGGTTTTGAAATCCTATTTGGCACCATAATCAGATCTTAAATCCTGTCTAAAGACATGACAGAGTTAATTTGCTTTGATGACCTTGCTAGGTACTTTTTGTATTAGCTTTGCAGTTTGAGACTGGGAAAAGATATGAAGACTGGGAACAGATTGGGAGAGAGATTTTTTTCTCTTGCTAAGCTGCTTGTATGGTTCTCACAGGTATTGGTGGCCAGGGGATAGGAGTAATTTTGCATGTGCATTTTGATTATTTGTTTCTGAAAATTTTCCAGTCTCCCTGTATATGCAGCAATGAGCAATTTGATTTCTAGCCAAGAGATCATCTGGGTAGAATTCGTTTGGGGGACCAGTTCTTCAACTGAGTTGTTAGATCCCATCAGTTGAAAAGGCTAAAATGCTTTTCAGCTGTAGGCCATTCGCTTCATCATAAACCAGTACTGTTTAGTGCAGTGGTTCCCAACCTTTTTTTGACCAGGAACCACTTTGACCAAGGACCACTCTTCAACACTGGTACCAAAAGGGTTACGAACTGGTTTTTGGTCAACTTTAGATTTGGTTTGGTTATTTGGGGTGCTGATTTAGAAAACTGCACTGGATAAACTATATCAGCTTTTGTTTCTGATACAGAACATAAGCCATCCAGTAGTTGCCATCTGCTCACCCACATAAAACCATACTTAATAATCTAGAGCTGGGGTGGTCTATCCAGTGCAGTTTTCTGAATCAGCATCCCAAATAACCTCAGGAACAGGCCTAAAAACGAAGACACCAAGGCGCCACATGAAATGGCTCCGCTCAGGGGGAGGGAGGAGGAGGAGAGGCAGCAGTCAGGAGGCTTGTTGTCGTGCCTTTGTGGGTAGTCCGCCTCCCTCCTCCCGACATCCCCGTTGCCTTGGCACTATAAGGGGGTATCGCAAGACCAGTCACTTTTGTTGCACCCACGTAGTAATGGTGAGACCGCGGACCATATTTTAGTTCTTGTGGACCACTGGTGATCCACAGACCACAGGTTGGGAACCACTGGTTTAGTGGTAATGTGTGTCAGTTTTAGTGCCTGGAACTACACCCAGTTCTAGAACAAGAAGCCATCTATCACAATTCTCCCAGCAAACCTATTTACTCAGGATAAATCTTAAAATGGCAATTAACTGAGATGGTGAGACAGCTTGTCCTAGATTCAGTCTCTGAATATCAATTGCTCAAGAGTGGGAGAGTGGTTTTTGTTAAGCCGCTCGTGAGAACCAAATGCGCTGTGGAACTAAACGAACCTTGGACAGCATGCTGACTGGAGGATTCTGGGAAGTGTAGTCCAAAATAACTGGCCTTTGGTCTGATCCAGCAGGAGTTCTTGGCCTAATGGCAGTTGTTCATTCCAATTAGAGGAAACCTTGGTAAGTCAGTTGTTGTGTACATTCCATTGATTCATTTGCTCTTCTGTCCTTGAGACTTACAATTAGATTTGTGCCAGGCCCCACAAGCTGAGACCTCCTGCTGTTTGGCATGAAGGAGTGGGGACATGCACTTTCATGTGATGGGAGGGGGGGGGGTGCAGACATGGAGCATGGCATCTTACCTAATGCAATTATTAGCATGGGTCTTAACATTTGTCTAAATGAATGATAGTTCTGAAAGCAATTATCGCCCAGTCAGTCTTACATCAGTACCTGGAAAGATTCTGGAGCAGATCGTGAAACATACAATTAGAACAGAATGCTATAAGTAAACATGGTCCTTTTGAAAACAAGTCATGGCAGACTAATCCTGCTTCTTTTTTATATATAGAACCTTGGCAAATAATGGGAATGCTGTGGATATACCATACCTTGATTCTATTTAGGACTTTTTACCATTACATTTCTGCAAACAAACTAGTAAAATGTGTACTAGAAAATGCTATTGTTAGGTTGACTGGCCAAACCCAAAAGGAGTTCGTCAATGGCTCCTCTTCATTCCAAAGAGAAGGGAGTTGCATGTAACAAGCTGATAGCAAGTGGCTAAGAGATAGAGGCTGACATGCTCTTAAACACCTCTCTTCTCTCACTTCTAGCTAACCAGCTCGACCAGTCCATCCACATGGTTTATGTCCCATCCCACTTGTACCACATGCTCTTTGAACTGTTCAAGGTAATCCTCTCTTTTGGCATTAGGAGTATCTTTCCTTCATTTATTCATGGCAGACAATCCAGATCAGAAATCAGAGCTGCAACTCTGGATTCAGTATTGGGGTGTGAAATCAAGAGCAGAGCTTGGGGGAGTCACCTTTCTGTATACTGCAGTTCTCAGAATCCCTTAGCCATCCTGGCTGTTGGCTGGAGATGCTGGGATCAGTAGTCCATAAAAGTAACATTTTCAAGCTCTGATTATGAATGGCGGTGCATTCTATTGGGTGAAAATGGAGCAGTGACACAAAAACCTGAACAGCTTACGTCCAGGCTATCTGAAAGACTGTATCTTTCTATAGGAAAGCCTCCTCTTCAAGATGATCTTTCCTTTGGTACTACCTTTGTCCTGGGCACATGTAGTAAAGACATTGTAGAAGGCCTTCGTGGTAGTTTCTCCCTCCTTCAGGAGACCAGATTGGTTTCCTCTCTCCTTTGACATGCAACAGCCTTTCCATTTGGACAGGTCTTCTCGGTTGTTAAATTGGAGGTTCTTTATTTTAGTCTTCATTAGTGTGCTTTAAATGTTTTTTAATCTTAATCAGAATATTATCTGTTTGGATTTCATTGTGTCCCTCAAATTCTTTTGCCTGTATTATGTTTTTAACTTTTGTTGTATGTTGCCCTGGGTCCCATACTGGGAGAAATGTGGGTTATTAATCATCTTTGCCTGTAATTGCATTTGAGGAGATGTGTATCATTGCTCTCTGACCTGTGAGGGTTATACATGCTTTGTGGCCACATAATGTTGCATGTTTGTTAAGGGGGAGGGGATGGAACAGGAAGGTGATAAGAAAGAATGGAATAGAGTAATGCTGAAAGTGGTATAGGTAGCTGGAAACTTAAGCAAGGAATATTCTACACTCCAATGTTTTGCTTAGGGCTCCTTTTATCTGCAATGCCCATGCTTTAAACAACTTGGAGGAAAAGGGGCAGAGGAAGACCATTGTTAAACCCCAGCAGTACCTGTATCAGATCAATTACAAGTTCGTCTCTCATAATTAAAATAAAAAATACCTCTTGGTAGCTACTCATTCTGTGCCTTTTTAATGGAAATACGATCTCTGTTCATTGCTTGCTCTTCACTAGAGCAGGGAAGTGCTGTACTCCAAAGGTTTGGGGTGAAGTTCCTTTACGGACTTGAATTATGAGCTGGCCTAATTCCTGCTCTATTGATGAACTAATTACCTTAGGATTTGGAATGTATGGGAAAGGATGCTGGCTGATTTTCCCCATTCTGTAGTTTGGACCTCCTGGTAGTGCAGCGGGTTAAACCGCTGAGCTGCCTTACTTTATGACTGAAAGGTTGGCTGTTCAAATCCAGGGAGTGGGGTGAGCTATTGCTGTTAGCCCCAGGTTCTGCCAACATTTGCCAACATGCAAATGTGAATAGATCAGTAGGTATCTCCTTGGCGGGAAGTTAACAGCGCTCCATGCAGTCATGCTGGCCACATGACTTTGGAGGTGTCTACGAACAATGCCAACTCTTCGACTTAGAAATGGAGATGAGCACCAGCCCCCAGAGTCAGACATGACTAGATGTAATGTAAGGGGAAACCTTTACCTTGTACTTTTACCTATAGCACTGGTTCTCAACCTGCGGGTCCCCAGGTGTTTTGGCCTACAACTTCCAGAAATCCCAGCCATTTATCAGCTGTTAGGATTCCTGGGAGTTGAAGGCCAAAACGTTTGGAGACCCACAGATTGAGAACCACTGACCTATAGTTTGCTGCAGAAACAGGAAGTAGGAACTCTTCCACCCACTCCTTTCTTGCATTTGTCCACTGCATTCCCCACCACCAGGTCTATTTCCATCTGCAAAGAAATTCCTCTCAAATTTTGAGTAGCCGTGAAAGTATAGCGGGCCTTCCACAATTGATTATGTGCGTCTCATAAAATGCTGTCTCTAGAAATTTCTAGGTCCTCCAACATGTCTCTGTGGTAAACTTAAATCAGACCACCTCTCTAGAAATCTCTAGGCCCTCTAGGAAAATTTTGTGGTCAGTTTCCAGCATAAGTAAGCATGTCAGGGACCTAGTTGGGATAGGGATGACTCATTCATTGGGCTTTCTGAGGCAAACCTTCTTGTATGTTTTTGTTCTGTCTTTATCTTCCAGAATGCCATGAGAGCCACTGTTGAAAGCCATGAGTCCAGTCCCAGATTGCCACCCATCAAAGTAATGGTGGCATTGGGGAATGAAGATCTCTCTATCAGGGTGAGTAGAATTGTGAGTGTCGGAGAGGTACACCACTGCTGATGGACAGCTTCTAAGACCCCTTTCTTTTCTTTCTTCTTCTTACAATTATTTCTCTTTAAAATGGACTTGGATCAGACAACCCTTCGGGCAGTACAGTACAACCTCCATATTATCAAGAAATATATTCCTGGACTTATTATTGCTTCAGAAGGAAGTATGAGATAAAATTGTGCTGAATGGGGAATCTAGAAAATGCCTAGAGAGAATACCTCTCCAGCATGATTGTGTGGTCAACCTTCAGCAGAAGCATAGATAGAATTATGCTAATTGGTGTAGAGGGAACAATTTTTTTGGATGTGGGTAGGTGAAATTGCAGGTACCAGTCACGTAGATATGGGAGTCCTCTGTCTTGAAATAGAGGACTGTCTTATGTAAATAGGCCATTGGGCCATCCTGCTCATCTATACTGAAGGCATTTTAATTTTTCCTCCCTTGTCGGGGCAGATGAGCGACCGAGGAGGTGGAGTTCCTCTCCGGAAGATTGAACGACTCTTCAGCTACATGTATTCTACAGCACCCAAACCAGAACTGGGCACCGGTGGGACGCCCTTGGTAGGTGTTAAGTAGACCAGAAAATTGAGGAGATCAGTGTGTCTCAGATCACAACTACATAAGGAGAGATGGGAAACCATGGCTAAGGACTCTGAAGTTGTTTGTTTCAAATATAAAAATATTGTAGTATTTTTCTGCAAAACTTACTGTATATACTCGAGTATTAGCCGACCTGAATATGAGCTGAGGCATCTAATTTTACCACCGAAAACTGGGAAAACTTATTGACTTGAGTATAAGCCAAGGGTGGGCAATGCAGCTCCTATTGGTAAATTTCAAAATAAAAATAGATACCAATAAAATTGCATTAATTGAGGCATCAGTAGGTTAAATGTTATTGAATATTTACCGTATTAAAAAAAAAAAACCCCAAAAAAACCCCAGTAAACCGGCTCTGTAAGTAGAAAAGTAGGGTCAACAAAAACAATATGTTATCAACAATAACATAATAATAATAATAATAATAATAATAATAATAATAGTATGTCATTTGTATCCGCCCCTATCTCCCCATGGGGACTCAGACCAGCTTCCAACATAGTAACAGGTAAACATTCAATTCCTATATAAACAATGTAGAGCTAGATATAGATCTATAATTATTTATAGTAATTTCACATATGCATTTCCCTCTGAAACATTTGCAAATCCTCTCTCTGTATATGTGCATTTCCCTCCTTCAATATTTGAAGCCCTATATGTCTATGTTTATATCTATTTACACATCTCTTTCTATATGTGTGTGTGTG